GAAAAAACAAAACCAGAGCGTGTATCTGATTTTCTCCCTCAGTTCCTTACAAGTCTCTAACCAATAATAACCACTTAGATTACGACTTCAGATGAACTGTTGTAATGACAACGAATTCATAAAGCAACTGAAAATATTCTTGAGATTTTATTAGTCCACTGAATTGAGGGGTACAACCACATACACAAGTGGCATAAATTGATACAGGGTTTTCTGATGGCAGTGCTCCAGGAAACGATGGGGTCTGACAATACAGCTTTGAACACAGGGAATACTCAGAAGATGTTCTCAAATTGCTGAAAGAACAGAGATGGTTGGACTTAATGATTTTAAGGGTCTTTTCCAATCTGGATGATTCTATGGTTCTTTATTTGCTCAGGTACCATTTCTGATGGTTGTTTTCTCATTCCCGAGGCTTTCAGCATAGTTTAATACTCATCTTCCTCTTCACTTTTTGGTCTTTAGCATCACAAAAAAGCTGAGGGATCTGCACTGGATGAGTGCTTATTCCTAGGTCCAGAGTAATGCCTTGTGTGGCTCAGCAGTAGCTCTGATGTGCCATGTGCAGATAATATCCACAGCCTTGGTTTTGTCATTGCATTCCTCTGGGTATCTCTAATTCCCCATGTGTGGGGAAAGCAATCCTCCGACGTCAGAGGATGCTGCTTCCTCTGCATTGTAACTGCTGGCTAATAACCAATGTTTACTAAGTGCCAGTGAGTCATTTGCAAGTGTGATGCTTGGCTAAAAATTGTTTCCAAAAACCCTATCATCATTAGTCATTAATTCATGCGGTGCTATTCTGCTAGATACGATTGCTCACAGTTTGCACTGAGATGATAAGGTGGCATGCACCTCAGACTGATTAGCATGTGGTAGACAGAAGATTGAGGCTGCCCCCGTTCACATCCCTGCCAAGCGATACAAGTCATCTGACAATAGCAGAATTTGGCAGTGTTTTCCTCCTCCAAGGAGCTTGCAGTTTGAGGAGGTGCTGCTTTGTTCCTGCTGCTCTTAATGCCAGAGCAGAGACCAGTGCAGCCCACTGTCAGTGTGAATGGGGAGCTGTGGCTGACAGCAGTGCTGATAGCTCCGTTGGCTCCAAGGTAGGATTAAAATGATAGCTGCAGAGATGACTGACAAAATGCATTCCTCACACACAAGCTGCAGTGAGTACTTGCTGTGGGTCTTTGTTGGATACGAAGGATAACAACTATCTGGTCCCTCAATGAAACTTGCAAAGTGGATAGTTAAAATATGATTGTTTTATTGGGAGAAATACAGTTAACAGAAATGAACTACTGGATGACTTGTTGCTTTATTTGTGAGCCCCAGAGAGACCAAAGTCCCTCTTAGCACTTCTCACGAAGCTTTTAGGCTGGAAGGAAGAAGTGTAATTAATGCATGTGTATTTTTTCTGTACAAATAACATTTTATTTATTTAGCGGGGCGGGGAAAAAAAAAAGACTATCAGCATTCAGAATTCCAGCTTTTTAGAAAATTTTCACTCTGATATCAAGGGTGATAAAAAAAACCTCTTCCGGAGTAAGAGAGAGAGCAAGAGAGAGATGGAAGTGTTTAGTTCCCATAAATTTTGTTCCTATAAAGTCTGGACGCTGGGCGGGTGCCTTGGCTCAGAAATGACCTCCTGGCTCCTTCTTTTAGTCTTGGTTTATGATGGGAGCCAGGAGAAGGATCCTGGCATTGGCCAGGTGAACGCAAGCTGTACCCTGGCAGGATGCCTGCAGACCCATTACTGTTTTGTAGATTAAAGTAAGGACAGCAAAAGGGGCGGAGGGGAGCTAGGGGAGGGAAAGAGAAGAGAGAAAGAGAATAGCGAAACACTTTGTTCTAATTCAGGTGAAAAAGTTGATCTCAGTGTCTGTGCACACAGCCTGCCACGTACAGGGTGGAGGTGGGGAACAAGTTCTTTTTATATATGTGCTATATTCTCTAATTATCCCCGTGTGCCCGCCTCTAGGAACAATTGAAAAGTCTGTGCCTGCTCAGGCATCACTCCCATGGGGAAGCTGTGGGAGCAGCCAACCCCTGCAGTCCAGTGTTTGGGTGGCTGCCGGTGGGGGGGGATGTGCAGGTGGCAATGGTTGTAATGCCATGATAGCAGCAACCCCACTTGATTCCTAACTCCATTTCCTTGGCCTTGCGATGGGGAGGATACTGATAATTCTTGCTCAGGTAGAAGTAGCTTATGAATTGAGAGATTTCCAGCCTTTGATTAAAAAGCAGTAATGCCAGGTGCTAGTGCCCTGCTTTTCGCTGTGTGGTCAAGCCACGTTTTGAAGGAAGCACTTTTTTGCAGAGTTTTATATCTGATGGACTGCACAATGACAACCAAGTTTCCTCTTACATTCAGCCACGAACTTCTATTACTCAGCCTCTTGATTCTCAGGTTTACTCAGTCATGGTGGGGAAGATTGCTTGCTCACCCTAATGGCAAAAGCAGTCTCACAGCAAGCCTACCTGACAGTCTGCAGCTGCTTATTTAGTGTTACTGCATGCACTGAGTAAGTTTAATGGGCAATTTTCCATCCGAATTATTTGCTGATAGAAAATGCCTCTGAAAAATCAATTTATTTATTTTTTTCTCCTGGAGAAGGCTACAATTTTGCATGAAAAAAAAACCAATTTGCTAGTGGGGAAATCCAAATGACAGCTTCCTGGCTGCCCCATGTGAAGCCTCATCATGGTTTGGGGTTTTTTTGTGTCTCTGCTGAAGACAAAAACTGAAATCAAATGCATCTTTAAAATTTAAAAGGATTTAAAGGTGCTTGGAAATCCCACTGAAGAAAGAGACATGCACTGGGCTTATTGTTGCTATTTTACTTTCATTTTTGTCCCTGCCAGCTAAATTTCTTTCTTCTTTTTTTCAACTTTTTTTAAATGAAGGTATTTTTTTCTGGAAAGGGGATTCAATTTTCAGCTACCTGTTGTACCGAGGAGTTGAAACTACCAGGGAAGGCAAGATAAGAAAGAATAGGTTAAAAGTTAGAGGGCCTGGGAGATGTTACAGTTTTCCTGTATTAAAGAAAATGGTCTTTTGATTAACCTTAGGAGTGTTTTCCCATGAAACTGAATGGGTTTCTAATGGATGACATGCAAACACCACGCAAATGTCTGAAAGCCCATGTCTACATTTTTCTATAATTTCTATTGAAGAGTTCCCAATTTCAAACTAAAAAATCTGTAAGCTTCTTTGTTTCCCATTATCATGTTAATCAGGCAACTTTAATTCTGTTTTGACCAGCTGTAGGAGATTGGGAGCAGGGTTCTTTGAAAGATCCAAAGGTTCTTCAGTGTGTAGTTGGTTGTGTGCCACAGGGCTTGGCAGGTCGTGCTGGTGATTTGTGGCTGTCAGCCAGCTGCAAGGGCCAAGAGATGCAGAATACAACCCAGCAGTGCCAATACCCAAATGAAGGCACACCTGACCAGTCAAGGGTACAGGAGCATCACTGACTGAAAGGCAGGTCTCCGAGGTGCAGCACTGTAAGAATAGCAGGGTTAAAGGAGAAGATTGGCCACACTAGAGTTGTACGATGATGTCAGGAATCATAATTGATGGCATAGAAGAAATGTCAGGTTAATGGCCTGAACATCTGAATTCCAAACCTCCAAAGAATTTAGGTGTTAGTGGCCACTGGGAAATACTAAACTGGGGTGCAGCTCATCTCCTGGTGACTTCTCTGGGAGGGGGACTGTATTTTAGTCCCATCACCATTTCCATTTCCTGACATCCTCTTCAAACAGTGCAAATTTGACTGTGTTGTTTAATATAGTCTGTATTTTTATTTGGATGGCTGTAGCCATTAAGAGAATTATGCCATCATAACATCCATCCAGATGAAGTTGCCTGATGGGTGTATCTATGTTCTGATATTGCTGAAGCTTGTTTGAGAAACAGTAACTCTCTCAGGTCTGCCTTGTATTTATTTGACATTGTTTATGCTGGGTAAACTCCTTGGAGACAAGGAGCAAACTCCTCTGAGATCTTGTGGTCGAATCAATTTGTAGAGCTGTTTCCATGTTTTCTGATGCAATCGAGTGTAACAATGTTGTATCCCAGTAAACATGGAAATGGAGCAAGGAAAACATTTCTCAATCGGCTTCCTAAAAATACTGCTTGGATGGGGAGGGGCTCCAGTTTTATTCCAGAAGCTCATTCAAGCCCTCATCAGTTTCCACAATGTCTCAGATTTTTCTTAGTTTTATGTTTCATGTACTTATAGACAGGGAAAGAGAGGGCTGCATGTGCCAAACGCCCATAAGCGTGACATGCAATAACCATTATGCTTTGAAATGTACATATTCATGGATGGAGAGATGCCAGGCATGGCTGGAAGCACATTTGATATTTGGTAAAGTGGGCAGATCACCAAGGGTGATCCTAGCAGGGGTGATCTTGAATTGTCTTTTCTGCCTTTGAGTATTCTTCGGCTTCTTTCTGTAGGAGGGGAAAACAAAAAAAGATGATGGCTTTATGGTAGTAGTTTGGTTTTATGTGATTTATTTGGGCCGGGTTTTGCTTTGTTATTAATTATCTTCCATCTTTTCATTGCCTGGTAACTAGTATTGAGCTAATATGGAACCCTGTGGAAATGTAGGTTCTAAGTGAATTAGTGAAGAGAGCAGGGTACCACATGTAGAGGGGCCCAGCTAGAAGCAGTAGTTAGATAAGGGTTTAAAACCCATTTGTGCTATTCTGTGCTCATCCCCATCATGTCAGTCAGCCAAGATATTTCAGGATTTCTCATGTATATCAGACTTCTTTGTACATGCAAAGAAGGCGGACAAGGCATGGAACAATTCTGTGTGTGTGGATGTGCTTTTCATGCCTGCAACATTCAGCTGCTAACTCCAGGATATTTGATATTCCTTTACTTTTCCTTTCTGCCATCCGAATATGAAAAAAGCTGTACTAAAAACCATAAAAACAACTACTTAAGATCATTGGTGCTGTGTGCCAGTTACGTCTGTATCAAATTCTGTCTTCTGTTCCTATAGCCTATGTGACATCAGGAACTGTTTTGTTCCAGAAGCCCTTGCAGCTGGACACAGTGAAGGACTGTCCTTGTTAGTGGTCTGTCAGGCATCTGGATGGGGCATAGACCTGTCAGCAGTGGAGCTGTGCTGCAGCTTGCTCATCAGCAGGCACCTCACCATGTCACAGTGAATCCAGGCACTGCACAGAACCTCCTGCATAGCTCAGGATCCCAGCCCACAGCACGGTGCTCTTGGCCTCATCAGATTTCAACACAGCAATGATATCTTTTTTCTTCTTCCAGAACTTTTCTTCCTGGTTTTGAGACACTTGAAAGAGAGCATCTCCCAGTGGCAAAGATAAGAGCCCACGTCCTTCCTGCATCCTGTGGCTGTGCATTCTCAGCCACAAGAGTCAGCAAGTCCCCTTCCAGAGGGAAGCGATTTGGACAATAACATCTCAGACTGATGCTGCTAATCTGGCCTTACCCAAGGTAATTATTTGAAATGACATTCAAACCAGAGTGGTTTTTCTAGACATTGAGATTACTACATTATGAGGAAAGTACACAAACTGCTTTCCTCCCCACATATCTCTAGTGCAGTCTGAAAATAGCCCCAAGCATTTCCAAATGTGCCTTAATCTTTTGACAGGGAAGTGGGTGAGGTCAGAAGACGGGGAAGGACTTGACTGCTGTCACGAGGATGGTGAAATTGATGCATCAAATAGAGCTGAATGCTGCTGTAAAGGTAGGGAAATTGGGACCAGTGCTCTCTTCTTGTTATTTAAGTGTTTATTATCTGCATTTTTGGTGCTTGTGAAATGCTGTGGGTTAAAAACCTTTCTGATAAATAGAGGGTGAGATAGGACAGGATCAGCTATTCTATTTTTATTATTGAACACTGCAAAGATCCTGTAGAGAAAAAGACAAAACAGTGTATTCAAGCACAACAGGAGCCAATATAATAAATATAAATATGTCCAGGGTACAGCTCTGCGCTCTTTCAATCCCCTATGATGGCTTCCTGTCTGCATGAAGAAATGTGGGATTTCTTCTTGCACTTGGTCAACATGCTCCAAATCAAGTTCATTCTCTCTGTTTTTTTTGGAAAATGTGATGTTGTTGTTGTTATTTGACAGTGTCTCAGATCTTGCTCTTTCCTTTATATTGGAGAAATGCTAAGGGTATGTAGCTAAGGTATTAAGCACATGAATACAGAAAAGTTAGATGTTACGAAGTCCTGCTTCATGTGAACAGGCTTCATCTAAGCTGTGGGTTCTCATAAGAGTTAACGAAAAAAGCATGAAGTCTCACCCACCCCAACAGAGAGTACATGGGATAGGTATTCTCTGAATTCTCACTTTCTGCTCCTACAAAGTATACCCAGATTGCCATGGTCATTCATGCATGAAACACTTTCCTAGAAATGTGCAGCCCAATGGGAGAATTTCTATTACACGTCTGTTATTTGCATAATTGGGTGCTAACCAAAATAAAGCTAACAGATTGCTGATAATTGCAAAATGTCAATTATATCAGGTTAGGTCAGAGGTGAAATCTAAGGGTGAAGTCTCCAGGTGTGTTGAGGTCAAAAGCAACTTGTTTTTGAAGGGAAACTTGTTAGGGATAATAGCTATCAGAAGCAACTTTAGTGTTAAGAGTCAACCAAGTCTTAAGCAACATGTTGTTGCAATGCTTCAGGAAATGGGAGCCACTGCAAACATGAATAATTGGTTAGTTCTTCACATGTTACTTTTGGAGAGTTGAAAAAGAGCACTACATGGAGGTAAGAAAACTCTTGTTGTATAGCAAGTGGTACAAAACAGCTGCATGCAAGGACTTTATCAAAGATTGCTATAGAATAGAATGGAGGCCCTGAAGTCTTTTTAGTACGTGAGCAAATTAAAAGTTGCTTCCCAGAAAAATCCACATGGCACTGCACATGGCTGGGAAGAGAAATCTTGGTTGTCTGTAGTAAGACTTGAGAACCTGAGAGTCAAAAGGGAATGAATTTGCCTTGATGCTTTGAAGTGATCCAAAGCCTGTTGCATTTAGCTGGCTTCTCCCTGCCAAAGCTGCAGAGTTCCCTGGTATTTTTAGGAATGAAAAATTATGTATGGCCTGAGGAAATGCAATTCTTTTTTAAACGGCCTTGGTTTTAACTACTGTACTGTACTGCTTCAAAATCCTCTCAAGAACTTCCTTATGTAAGTGAAAAACAGCCTCACAAATTGTGAGGGTGGTTTAAATCAACTTCAGTGCAATAAAAGGTATATGTGCTCCCTTAGTCAGGGGAGTTGGAAAAAGAGCTATCAATAACAGTGTGTCAGATAAACACCGAGGGCAAAGAGAGGACTGTGCTGGGACATGACTTTTTTCCTTCTCTCAGAGATTCTCTTTCTCTTCTGTCTTCGGTTGCTTTTATATCTTTAACCATACAGCAGCCAAGGCAGGAGAGGAACCGTCTGACAAAGGTTTCATTGACAAAATGTATGATTTTTGCTAGAAGGCACTTCCTTCTCTGCTGAAGGCTTTGAAGTGTCATCTTTGTTCTTTCAGGCTTGTTATTTTTTTTTTTTCCTCTTTAAAAATGATAGACAAAATACTTGAAAGTCAAATTTTAGTGCAGGCAAAATAGCAGGAGGAACAACTGAAATCCCTCATTTCAATGGGTATGCAAAAATGATGTATTTGAAATATCATTTCTGATCCTAATTATGAAACAGTGCCCTCAGTAATTAAGAACTGTGTGATACCTTTTAAGAAGATGTGTAATTTACTCTTCAAGTTGTCTTCTTCCATCACTGACCATCTCAATGTGCCCAGTGTCTGCTGACTGATCTGGTACCTCTTCCACGTGGCTTAGTTTTGCTGTCTGCTCGATGGCTTAACAGGAATGAACTCAGTTTGCAAAGAATCAGCATTGAAAAGTGATTTTGTGAGGCAAGGGAGAATGAAGGTGATCTGTTTTTTAGTATTTCTCTGACACGGTGGATTTTTTATTTCCAAAACCTGAAATCCTACGTTATTTCTTTTTTTGCTCATTAGCATCTGATAACGTATTTCACGTCCATACCAACCTACCTTCTAGAGCCAAACTTATGCAAAAAGGAGATCCGATCATTGCAAGTGTGCAGTAATCACTGCAATTCAGTAAGTAACTCCAGGGAATCCAGTGGTGCTGATCCCCTCGTGGAGAGAACAGCTTCTCCATTGCTGAGCAAGTGGAAATGTCACTGTGGGCTTCACTGGTAGTAGGTTCAGAACTGAAACAGATGCTGCAGGATCAGGGCCTTTTTACTGTTCCTTAGAGTTGCAGGTAGGGAGAAAGACACACGATAATACTGCCAGCAATGAAGTTACTGTTCGTAATAATTTCAGTTCAGTCAGACCACAGAGATCAGCAAACCACCAGAGACAGCTTCCTGTGGTTTGACACTATAATCCTGTAGTGAAACATGACTGTGTTAACCTCTTTTTTCCCCTTGATTAACTCACTTTCTCTACTGAAAGTTTTAAAGTCCATGATCTCCAGGTTGTTATTATCCACCAAAGAAGGCTTCTTTGGCGTGGGTTGAGGAATGAAAGTTTCTTGGCTCGTAGGGATGCATGATTACAGTGGTGCAATTCCTTTTGGTGCTTCCAGACTTAGCATCCAGATGAAAAGCTATTTGATACACTTCACTGTGCCTGTGCCCAAAGCACAGCACAGCTCCATGCTAGAGGAGATAATGGGTCTTTTTATTCTCCCACCCTACTAAAACCATAGCTTTTCTGCCCGTACTTCTGCAGGGATGTTTAGCTGTGTGTTTTGCTCTTTACTCTAACTTGACAGTCCAGAGAAAACTGGACAGAAGCTCACGTCTGAGTTGAGTAGCAGAGGGATGTGCTTCTAATATGCACGTTAAAACCCATGGATTTAGGAAAGAAGTGGCAAGGTAATAAGAGCCAGACAATGCCTCTTGTGCATTAGTCTGTCGGTGCTGCTTTCCATACACACAGACACAGGTAGGAGCACATAGCATCCTGCCTGTACTTCACAACAGCTCAGTGCCAAAGCTGCTGCACGAGCACAGAACTGTTCCTGAGCTGCTAAACCCTTTAAAGTGATAAGGCTGCTTACCTCAGGGAAAGTGGCATCATATCACCATGAAACACAGCAGTGTGAATAGCCAGGCAGGCACATTCTGCCTCTCCAGACATATGTCTGTGCAGACTGCTTGCTCCCATCTCGCTCAATTTAACAACTGAGCTGGGTGAAATTTTATAAACCGTGAGTTTTCAACAAATATTTGGCCAGAATTTCCTAAATATTTTTTATTATTATTATTATTATTCTTTCTTTTTTTAAATGGAGTCTTTTTAGTGGTGGCTATTAATGTTGGGAAGTCCATCTCATTTCTGCTGAGCTGAGCTTTCCTTAGCTTTCATAATTGGGATAGTTCAGAGGGCAGTCTTTATGATCTGTGAGTAAGCACAGTCACTGGATTTACATGAGAAAAAGATCGTTTGTTGCCCCCTGTCCCTCCTGCTGTTCATCCCACTCCCATCGGATTGCAGTAGCAGTTTCTTAGAGAAAATAAACCCCAATAAACTGCCTAAACACTGTTTTTGGAAATCTCCATTCTTAGCATAAGCGATGCTCAGCTGGAAGCCTCATAAAACCTTTGAACCTGTAATTCGCACCCATTCTTTTAAAGCCTTTTCCCATTTTAAATATTAGTATAAAAAGGGGATTTGAAGAATAGTATCGCCAAAGCAAACATTTGACACGCTGTTATATTAGACTTATATAATATAAAGCTTAGGCACATGCACCCAAGCTGCTGCTGCTGCTGTTCTACAAGTCAGTGCTTACGTCTGCAATAAGGACAAAAGTGCTGGGGGGAAAAAAAAATAATCCATTTCTCTGTTTGTCTGTGTGTGCATGTGCACGCTGTTTTTAAATAGTAGGATTGCCCCATGTTGGTATGGCAACAAGCTGTGAAAAGAAAATCTTCCCTTTTAAAGCTCTAAAACATATTGACTAATTTCTATCTTTCTTTGTGAAAATGGTAACGCTGAGACACTTTTCTGTGCCACAGACATTTATATTTGGATGTTGTTGTGGAAACTAACTGGGCAGGAAAGTTACTTTGGGTTCTGTTTCTGAAAGGCTACAGCATGATACCAGACTTTAGACCTGGATCTTGTAAGCATGTTTTTAACTTTATGGACCAGAACATGTGAAGCTAAATCCCTGTGTGTTTCTAGGACTGAGCTGCTGGATCTTGGAAGCAGAGGTGGATGTAAAAGTTCTCGTAGTAATAAACAAGTAGCTTTGTGTGCAGGGGGATTAATGAAAGCTGCTTTTCAACATCTCTCCCTCTCTTTTCCTCCCCCTCATCTTTTCTGATGCCTGAAAGAGGGCAGGGGGTGCTCCTCTTGGCACTTGGGAGCTGCTTCTGCTATCTGATTCCCTGATGAAATTTGTGAAAATCTTATCTTTGAGGTCTTCACTCCTTTGATAAGTTTGCTTGAAATTAGTCAATGATTAAAAATTCGGGATAGAGGGAAAGAAGAAATCCATACACTATGAGCATGGACGCCTTGTTTCCTCAGGCATTCAGCTGAACATTTAATGTGTTCAAGGGGGAATGTAGCACGCTGCTCTGATGTTCTGTGTTTGTCATCTCTACTTGCAAATCCAACACTGTAGCTTTATGCTTCTGCTGGAAAGAAAAACAAACAGAAAACAATGGGAGAAACCACAGAGCTTTGCCTGCCGTGCAGGGATTTGTGCAGAGACAGGGCAAAGTCAAATTAAATAATTTCCCATGAATCAGACATAGAAGGGACATCCCCAGCAGCTGGGCTCTGTTGGGGCGGGGGATTGGAAGAGGGTTGGAGAAGGATGGTATCACACATCTCATATATGTGAGCTGGTGCAAAACAAGACCTCAGAATTACCCAGCTCTGCCTGTTTGAGGCCTGTTGCTCTGTGTTTTGCACTGTTTGTCTCTTCAGCAGGACGCTGCTGCAAGCATGGAGGGGCCAAATGGAGCCGTGACTCACAAATATGTCACTGTTTTTTTTCCTTTGCTCATGGCATAAATCAAAAAAAGGGGGGGAAAAAAAGAAAAAAAAAAAAAGATCTGTTAGCACAGAGCTCAGGTTTGTTTATTTTTTTGCCAGCTGCAACATGCAACCCTCTGAGGGGATCACGTAAAACCAGTCATGGTTTAGGTTGGAGTGACATGTCAAACCCAAACTGTAGGCCTGGCCCCTCTCAGTGAATTACAACCTTGTCAGAAACCTATTATATATATACATGCATACATGCATACATACATATACGTATTTTTTTAAAATTAAGGTAGGTTTTTTATCAAATCAAATACCTGCACACTAAATTATATTGCTGGTGCCAGCCTGGCTCTCCCTCGCTCTCCCTGCTCTCTTTACTCAACACTACGATACAGGGGGTTTTGTTCCGAGCAGGGAGTGAATGGAGAGGTCCCTTGCTGCTGAGGAAACGCCGTGTGACCTTGCCACATGTTTTGTTTTTGGATATTTACCACAACATGTCCCAGCGCTGTTGCCTTAATGATAAAAATATTCAGTCATCGAGTGGAGGCCTGGGGTGGTGGGTGAAAGGAAGGAAGGTGAATCAGTAATAGAGTACAGGCATCAAAGATGTTTACTCATCTGTTTTCTGAACCCAGTTTGTTTTGTTTATTAATAGGGCTTGAAATGCCAAGGGGAATGTTTAAGGTGAACTAAAAATACCACATGTTCCTCTGGCATGGGTTTTCCTTTTGTACTTGCAAAATTAGTTGGATGCTGGCTTTTCCCTTTTTATCCTCTTTCCTCTGAGGAATGGATGCAATTGTTATTTTGGAGGGAGCAGAAAGCTCAGCAAATGAAGGTAGTAGAACACTGGAGTTCTGTGTAATCTATGGGATTGATGTGGCCAAGGCCCAGCAGGTTCTCTACTCAGACAAGTACACTTTTTCAAAGTGCATGCAATAATTAGAAAAAATTAAGCATTCAAATCCTCCTATTGCCATGGACAAGAAGAGAGATAATTATGAGCAAACATCACTGTTCATGCACAGTTCTACATGCAGCCAGGAGATGCTTCTGCAGTAATGACAACCTTGCAGGGCAGCAACGGAACAGCATTAAGCTAAAGAGACTGATAAATGCATCCCTGTGCTTCATAGTTGGATCATGTAGTGTGTTCTCGTGAGGGAAAAACATGTACCTGGTTAACAGTGCATCCAACAAAGCATTGGCCTGAAGTCCTTCCTTTGTGGGAATGCTTCTGTGGAGCATTATGGTTTGCTTTTCACAGAATGGAATTCAGGGCACACGGGGGGGTTTGCAGAAGAGTTTCCCTCAAGGGGACGTCTGGAAACCATGACCATTTCTGTTCAGAGAACGTAATAAAAAACTTGTACTAATGTTATATCATGCATATCTGGGCATTGAGTATGAGTGCAAGCTGAAAGAGGCTCCTGCTTGCAGGTTAAATTGCAGATTTAATACAAGGTGATAGAGTGTGCTATGTCTGAGCATACCAGCACTGCATTAACTCCAGCCCATGTTCAGGCTGCCCGACACTCAAGCAATTATTTGCTACACAAGGCCAGAGGGCGAAGGAATTCTTTGGAGGAAAGACCACATCTCATAGATGGTTCATAGAAGTGACTGTGCTGATGGGCAGCTGGGGGTAAAGCTTAGAGGAGGACCTTGGAGCAGAGCTCAAAGAGATCTGATTTCTGTCGTTTCTTTCTAGATCAGGAAGGGGTGTTTGGATTTTCATTATGGAAAAGCTGCAAAGGGAATATATGTCTGTTCCTGGTGTTTTAAAGTAGCAACAATGAAGTAAGCTGAAGTGAAAATAAAAAGAAAGAAAAAGTTTGAGATGAGAGGAAGGAGAGCTTAACAGAAAAGACTGGTGGTACGAGGCTACCTAATGTAGCTGGAATGGGGAATCAAACAGGAAGAACTGAAATGTGTTGGATGTGTCAGATGTACAGATGTCCTTTGTGGTGGCTTGGACTCTTCAGGAGCCTTTCTCTTGCTCCTACTGTGTGATATGAACCTTCCTAGGTTTTACCTGTTGGGACCTGAAGACCCATCCTGAGCCACTCTGGTTTTGGCTTTTTGCTTCTGTTGAGGTCAGATTCAAGAACCGTTTCAAACTGAGATTTAATATGCCCAGAAATATTAAGACAGCTAAATAGAGCAATGTTATGGAGTTTCTGTAGGGCTTCTCTGATTGTTTGTTCTTCAAATAGAAGAAACAGAGCTGTGTCCCTTCATGCTGAAGAGGGATGGAATGGGTTCTTCCTGGCTCCTCTGGTGCAGTATTGTGCTCACAGGGTGCAGAAATAAATCATTCCAGGGAACGGTTCAGAGGAAAAAAATGTTACATGTTCTCAGTCATTTAATTGTATTATAGCCCTTATTAAATAAAGGTACAGGGGAGCATAAAGGTGGACTGCTTTTATTTTTGATGCAGATACTATGTAAATTTATGTACCTTTTTATGCTGATCTTGTGAATGCCCTCAGGTTCCTGAATCATTTCCAAGCTTTCCCTCTCATGCAGTGTGGACCACTTTGTTGTTTTGGTTTTGAAGTAGGTCCTTTTAAACCTCCCCTGTCCGCGTATCTGTGTTGTGCATGTTCACAAATGTGTGTGTGCTCTCTTCCTTTCCTGCAAGCCGAGGACTGAATTTGGAACCTTTTTTTTTTTTTTTTTTCTGACTGGTTGAAGAAAAGTGTGTTTCTGAGGTGAAAAATTTGCCTTTTAAATTTCTATATAGCTTATACCAAGATTATAATTCATATCCAGGGCTGAATACCAAATGATCCTGTTACTCATTTCCACAAATATTCTGAGAGGCAAAGAGTGAGGCTAGGGAAAACACTGGCCAAAATCCAGTGCTGTTAGAGCCCCAAATCAATGACATTTATACAAAGGTTGGTTTTGGTCTCTTCCATCTTTCATTTAGAGCTATAAGATTAACAGATTATAAATACTGGACGATGCCCCAAAGCTGCACCAGCAGCTCAGAGAGGCATCTTTCCTGGTAGAACAAGGGGAATATTGTAAAATGAAGTCTCTATAATAAAGACCCCATCTCCTGGAAGAGCTGCTAGCAACTGTTCTTGATATTATGTGCTACAAAGTACTTGTGAAGACTAAAACTTGGAGGGGTAAGCTCTCCAAACAGGAGAAAACAACTCATCGTTGGCAACAACAGTTGCCAAATCACCACATGGGTGACTTATGTGATACATCTTCAGTAACAGTTTTAGTCAAATGTAGCCCTTCTGTTTCCAGGTTGAATGACCAGTGTGTAAATCCAAGACTTCTCCAAAGGAAGAGAAGAGAAGAAATAGTAAGAGAGATGGACTCACTGGTCAGTGGACCAAAGATCTTTGAATGATGTCGATGTTGAACAGGATTTACTTTGACACCTACTGTTCATTATGGCTTATTTCCACTCCTTTCAGTGTTGATGACATTGTGTTGTGTAAACAACTGGAGTTGTTATCCTGAAATAATAATTTCTGTATGTGACCCTGAGAATGTTACATCTCCATATCAGATCAGACACTCATTGTGATTGTGTGATATGTCCATCCCACCATCAGTGCTCTCCTATGCCTGGAGATGACGTTCTGACTTTGCACATCTGCTGCTGATTGTTCATTCATACATGAATCCCAAGGAAGCAGAACGGTAAAATAGTGACCAAGCATATGTTTAACTTCCATTTTGGAGTCTTGGCTTTCTGGGATTGAAATCTTGAGATAAAACACGTGGGTTTCTATTGTGTCTCTAGGGATGCAAAGTTATAGTCCTGTAGAATACGTATTGTGTATAATGCAAAGTTGTTATTTCTCCATTAGTGAGGCTGGTGCTGGAGTTGGCTGTTAGCGTGTCATTCTTCTGACACATCATTAATAAACAGGTAATTTCATACCTGATTTCCACAGAATGTCATGCTGAAAACCACCTGGGTTTCAGTTTTCATCAACATTAGGGGGAAAAAAAAAAAAAAAAAAAAAAGATGTAGGCTGAAAAGTGGTGGTTATATTTGAATTAGGAGTGGTTTAATTGAATAATGGATCAATGAGGTTTGGAGAAGTGTGCATTCTGGAGGAATTCCCTACTGTTGTGAGGGAGATTTCACGATTTCACAGCTTTATCTTCAAAGTTATGAACCTTATTTTTGTTGTTGCAATGTTATTTGCATCGATTCTTTATTATGTCTTATTCCATACATTGAGAACCCTTTATTCCCTTTTGTAGTAGCATTCTGTGTATCTGAAGATCTGATGCTCTCCTGTCTTTTCTTACTTAGGCTGGATACCTCAATTTATTTCCATCATTTTACAAAAATTCTGTTTTGTACCTAATAATTCCAAACCATTTTGCAATTGATCCTTTTCCAGCAGTTGTTTCAGAAGTCTGTATTTGCCAGCAGGTGTCCCCATAAGAGAACAATAAGTTCAGTGCTGGAACACAGCTGCATCTCACAGGACATGCAGTTTCTTTCTCTACAGTTATGTCTATCTTGTGGTCAGTCTTCTCACTTTTATTGAAAATAGGTATGTCCTGAAAACCAGAGAGCCCCCAGCTGAAGGAAAACACACCGAATTTGGAAAAGGAACTTGGGAAAGTTATCAGGGATTTTATGAAGCGGTTGCTGGCTGTGAAACCTGGGTTAGGATTTGGGATAGCACAGAGCCCTGGGCTCAGGAATCTCATAGGTGTGCACTTCTTCAGTATCTTAGCACACTGAGAGCATGGGGCCTCCTCCTCTTGTCTCCTATTTGTATGTGTACCTTCAGCAATGCTTAGCAGACAGTAACTGCTTCAGGTAGAAATGTTACCCCAGAGCTAGGAGGAATTCTCAGATCTGTGTTACCTCTCACTGTACTGAGTGTTCATCCGAATCAGACCACCTCTGCCTCTCAACTTAGCAAAGACCAGAGTGAATGATGTTTACTGAAAGACCATATTCTTATTGTAAAGAGACAAAAGGCTTCAGCAAAAAATGCATTTTCTCCCAAAGGTTCAATATAGGTTTTTGCTGTGTGGATGGAGCAATAACGCATCTGCAGCTCCAGAGTTCTGTAAGGGTTTTTCTAGCAGAGTTGGTTGTTTTTGTGCAAACATAACTGACTCTGGTACAACCTGCATCACATGAAATGGAACATGCTATTGCAGCGTTTTCTGAGGAGGTTTTCTTGATTTTTATTTTCTTGATTAAACCAGCAACCACTGCATAAATATTGGAAATAAAACCTGCTGCAAACTGAAGGATTAGTATTTAGTTCTTTATCTAAATACACTCCATTCCCCCCGCGTCCCCTCCCCAAAATAAAATAGTGTTGTTTGAAATTTCCAGGGAAGCCTAAGGCCTAAAGCATTGGGTGAGATGTAAATTTCTTAAAATATTTATCCATCCATAAGTGGCTACATATTTGACATTATTATAGGGTTTCTCAGTGTTCCATTTTATTAAAAAATATTTATTTGGTTTCTAAGATTACTGCTTCTCTGACCACAGAAAATTCAATTACCGAAAACTGCAGCTATCAAATTGGTTGAAAATAAATAGCCTTTTATCCAAACCTGGCATGGGCTGGTTTACTTTTAATACGTAGCCATAAAAAAGAAGCTCTTTCCACAGAGAGCCGGTTGGTTGCTGAGCAAGAAGCCAAGGAATACTTTGCATCATCAGGTTTTATTTAAAATAGGGTAGGGTGGGGGGTAGAAAATAAGTCATGAGACTAATTAGCTATTCGTTTTGCTCTTTGGTTTTAACAAATGACAGCAGATTTCTAATGGTGTTTCTTTTAAGATAAATCAGTCTTCCGTTCTCATTCACATAGGTAAATAAATAGGTAGGTAATAATCCTGACTGCAAACTTAAAGCATGGGGTGACACCTACCTGTAGAGCTTAAAACAGGGTTATGTTTTCAGATGGTGTATTGACAAATAAAAGCAAATAATGCAGGAAGAATAGTTTGAGGTCACACAGGTAGGTTTATTGATTGTTTTTCATCTTTAATGTCATAGATTCCATCACATCTCAAGGCAATGTATTGCAGGCATTTATTAAAGAAGTAGAATATAGATAAAGGCTGTGACATCCTTTCTCATATGCAGGAAAGGCAGCACAATTACATGTATGGTGAATTCCTGGCTCTTAGCTTCTGCCAGTGCTTTTGCAAAGGTGAGGCAGACCAGCAAGAATGAACCAGAAGGGAACAAATTTAAAACAAATGATTGTCATTTCCAGCTCTTTCCAAGCGTTCTGGGTTAAGACTTCCCCTACGACAATTTGTTAAACATCCACGTTGCTTTTTTCAGTCTGTTTCCTTGCCCATCAAATCCCTTTCACACCATGTCTGAAGACACCATGTCTTTCAGCCGAGGTCCAGAAGGCATCAAAGGCTGGAATGTGAAACATCTCTGTCGTGTCACAAGCCAGGAGTTCATCGTTAACAGGTTCTGTTAGCAGAGGGGCTCACCGAGAGCCTCTGGCTTTGCTGGATCAAGGATGCTTGCTGAGAGATGGCCTGCAGCAGCCCGATGGGGAATAATGTGCTCCAAGCAGATGCAGCTCTCAGGGCTCACGAAGTGCTTTCTTTCCCAGCACGGGGATGAAAAGCTTGGTGATCAAAGCTGAGACACAAGCAAAAGGAGATAATGCACAGAGTCTGTCCAAAAATGGTACTTTTAAAGGGAGACTGCCCCTTTTTTTCATGTTGAATGAATGTCCATTGCTTAAAGGTAACTCTCAAGGGGTTTAAAAGGAGCGGGGAGATTTTTCTAAGAAAAACAGAAATCTGTCAATATTCAAAATGACTGTTCATATTGCTTTGGAAAGACTGAGTGAAAGGCAGCTAAATACCTTAGAAGATCTTTCTGTACTATGAGAGTGGTGAGGTGCTGGAACAAGCTGCCCAAAGAGGCTGTGGATGCCCCATCCCTGGAGATATTCAAGGCCAGATTGGATGTGGCCCTGGGCAGCCTTGTCTAGCATTAAATGAGGAGGTTGGTGGCCCTGCATGTGGCAGGGGGTTGGAGATTCATGATCCTTGAGGTCCCTTCCAACCCTGGCCATTCTGTGATTCTGTGATCAGTGGAGAAATTTGCCTGCTGTTGAAGAAGTTGAAAACACTCCACTATCTTGACACAGTGAGGGAATCAGAAAGTGTTTGGGTCCTCAGAGCATGTTGTTGTCCTTTGTTTGTTTGCTGAGATTTCATACCTGTGGAAATGCACAGAAGGAGATTGACCTGTGCATCTCAGCTGGAGCTCTGGGGTCAAGACAGCAACCCCAGGCCCACAGTGTGCCCTTGGGGTGGCATCTTCCATTTCCCCTGCTGCTAGGTGGAGACATTGCAGAGGGTTATGTTGCAAAGCAGAGTAAAATTAAATAATGCTTGGAATGGGCTTTGAGGAGATTTTGTGAGGAAAGGACTCGTTTAGGTTTGAAGAATGGCTGGCTGCTTTTCCATCTGTGTGGTTTGCAGGTCTGTACACACACGTCCCATTGTACACAAAAGCAGCTTATTATTTTTTTTTTAAACCAGTTGGTGAGCGTATTGTATGACATCGAGTCATCCAGAGAGATTGCTTCGGCCAAAATGGCAGGAGAGAAAAGAGGCTGAGAACTCACACTTTAATCTCTTTTCTGATGTGATTTCTCAATTGCATCAGGAGGCAAAGTCTCACTGAGCTCAAAAGCCTGGTTATGCCGGAAGGTAACACACAGTTACGGCTCTGCCAAGCAGCTTTCCAGGAGATCTTTCCTCTGGTTCCCTGGGGATGAACCAGCTCCCATTGTTTCCTTAAGAGTCTGCTGGCTGCGATGCTGCTGAAATGTAGTTTATGGATAAATGCAGTGTAGGTATCTGTAATGGGGGTCTTGCACTTGAAGCTGACGGACCGCTAGCTCAGCCATCAGCTGTCAGCCCATAATATCTGTGGTTACCTTTCCTTCTTTTTAATTTTTTTCCTTTTTCCCCTCCATCCTGAAAGTGATGGCAAGAGGAAAGCTAATGGATTTGAAATTGTAGGAGTAGCTCTACTGACTTCTTTAATAACTGTAAATATAGGGAGTTGGAAGTTTCTGTTGCACTGTTCCATTATGAATGGTGGTGTCCCCATGCTTTTCTCCCAGTGCTGACTCCTGGCATGAGCTGCTTCCTTCCTTCTCACTGTCTCCTGAAAAGCAATAAAATGCAGCAGACCCTTCTGTACATTACATCACGTTTAGCAAAAAACTCCCTGGAAGCAAGTTTATCTAAAAGGCTGGTATGGATTTTGAATGCCTGCTGCTGGATAACATTGCTTTGCTCATTTAAAAATTCATGCTTTGAATAAAGAGCTTCTTTGGAGGCTTTAAAATGTGAGTTAGTGCTTCTGCTGCCTTGGTGGCAGATATCCTTCAGGTGAAAGTATTCATTGCGATGCATACAAACAACACATTGACTACAGTCCCATTTTATATTCTCACTCAATCAAGGTAAAGTTTTTAAAGCTCAATTCATATTAAATTTTTTTTTCCTGTGGGTGTGAAGTGATTTTGACATGGGCACAGCTCACACTGAGAACCCTCCAGACTTGTGGCTTCAGAGCAAGGAAGAGGAAAATATAGGTTGGGGCGGGGACAGGAGATAGAAATAGTTTAGAGGACCCTCTGGTAGTGGCTGTGGGGCTTTAATTCATGGCAGGAGAGATGTGGCTATCACACACCACTTGTCACGGATTTATGGATCATCTGTTCTGCGGATGCTTACAGAACTCTTGCTGAACATAACCCTCCTTCTTGATTTTTTTTCTCTTGATCAAAGACTGCTAGAATTATAAATTCCTGTGATATCTTGAGGTTTTCTTAAGAAGAAAGTGCATTGATAGTACAGTTGCTAGGGTACTCACAAAGTAATATATTTTCCA